CGCAACTTCTTCTCCACCGTCAATACAAGGCCTAGACTCCGAATGTTGAACCCTAACAATGTCTCGAATCAGGCAGGATTCATGAATGTATTGACGATTATTATGAACCAGACGGCGGATGAGGCGTCCAAGTCTGCGTGATGAAGAAGAAGTTTGAGACGAATGCGGTGCGGTACAGTTTCAAAACTCTGTACGTTCTGGTTCAGTGCACGCCGGACCTTTCGTCGGCGGATTGCAGAAGGTGTCTGAGCGGAGTGATTGGGGACTTTAGATGGTGTTGTGATGGGAAGATCGGAGGAAGAGTGCTATATCCAAGTTGCCTCGCCCGTTATGAGTTGTATCAGTTCTTTAATTCTTCAACGCCTCTTCGGCCAGTAACGCTGTCGCCTCCTCCGGCTCTACTTTCTCCTCCAAATCCTGGTAAGCTTCATAATTACATGCTTTTCTGATTTCTTTTTTCTAATTAAATAAATTAGATTAAAGTAAATCTATTCATGAAAAGATTAATTACATTGCTGATTTTGGGACCAAAATAGTCATTTCAAACACGACATTAAAGCAGAGGAACAGGAATCTCTTCGCCCTTATAAATGCACGCACACGGTGACTCGTATGATACCCCCAAAAAAAATTTATTATTGTTATTTTAAAATTTTTTTGAGGGGTATTCGTCTATGAAATTACTATAAATGACAACAAAAAATAAATCACTATAAATATTATTTACAAAAACATATATACTTTCCATCTAATTATAAAATTTTGTTTTCAAAAGTCTCATGCTCATGACCAATTAATGATTTAGTTTCTTATAGATTTTTTTTATTGGTATATGAAAGATACGTATATATAGATTGAGGACACAGTCAAAGAAGTAAAAGAAATAATTTTAATTTTTGATGGAAGTAAAAGGTAGAAATTAAATAGCATATCATTTTGTCATAAAATAAAGACCCCGAAACTTATTAAGTTTAAACGTATTTTTTCTGAAAAATATGTATTTGAGATATTTTAAAATATCAAGGGAGGAAGACGAAAATTTATAGGGGAAGCATTTATTCGCTGAAAGTAATAATCTTATTTTAAATATTTTAACATTTAAATTACTTAATAAATTTTATATCCACGAAAAGCGGGTCCCTGCAACTCAGTTTGGAATCATGAGTGAAGAGAATCATATGCGAATGCGAAAAGCAGAAACAACTTCGCTTTTGCCGATTTTGCGTCTTGGTGTTCCGCCGACACCAGTATGGGGTACTTCAAATGATTCATATTAGATTCTGTTCACTCGACTCGAAAAATTGACTTGCTTGGAGGTTAATAAAGACTCAAATGGCTTTTAGCTCTAGCTTCTATATATAGGCTAATTATTTAGAGACATGGTGATAAGGAGTCACATGGAGACGTGGAAATATTCTACATACAGTAAAAAGGAAAAGGCGATTGAGGACTATTTTGATAGCTGTGGCTTCTCCTGTTGGTGCTATGATACTTTTATGCTTCGCCTACTATTTATCAAAGAATCAGATAAAGAAGATACGTATGGCTTTTCTCATGCGAAAATACTGTAAGTAATTTTCATTCCATCTCTTCACTACTCACACAGTTTGGCTAGCTAGCTGAAGAGTGGCGATACTTCTCGTTTGCTTTAATATCTTGGTTAATTTGTCTAGTTGGAAGCGAAAGCAACACTTTAGAGCCTCTGCAATTCAGTTTGGCTACGATTGAAGCAGCGACAAATAAGTTTTCGAAGGAAACTAGTTTAGGTCGGGGTGGATTTGGACAAGTTTACAAGGTGAGAAATGCCGTCGATGTGTAAATATTATGATATTTATAGTATTGGTTATATTGTTTTACCTGTTTAATTTAATCAACTATGACTTCAGGGCATTCTTTCAAATGGTCAAGAGATAGCTGTAAAAAGACTTTCGAAAAGTTCTGGCCAAGGAGCAGAAGAATTCAAGAATGAAGTTTTGCTAATAGCCACGCTCCAGCATAGAAATTTGGTGGCCTTGCTAGGATTTTGCATAGAAGAGCAAGAGAAAATTCTCATTTATGAATATGTTCCCAACAAAAGTCTTGATTACTTCCTGTTTGGTTAGACTCTTCTAAACTCATTTTAACTCAATCGAAATTTATATACGTGCATGCGTGTTATTAATCATTTGACATTCGCTGTCTCATGTATGCTAAAGTTAATTACTTGTTTTCAATCATCTTTATTTAATTTGTCAGTCTAGTCATTAACGATAGCTTTATATATGTATAGGTTCTCAAGAAAGCAAAGTGTTAAATTGGGAGGAACGTCACAAAATTATCGGAGGAGTTGCTAGAGGAATTCTTTACCTTCATGACTATTCTCGGGTTAAAATTATACATCGTGATCTCAAACCGAGTAATATTTTGTTAGATGATGAAATGAATCCAAAAATTTCAGATTTTGGCATGGCTAGGATGGTTGGATTCAATGAAATTGAAGGAAGTACAAAAAAAATTGTTGGAACATAGTAAGTTATAAGATTTTTCCTTCAAACTCTTTTACCTCTATCATGATATGGTTGACTAAACAAAAATAAGCTTTTATGAGAAGCCAACATAAAAGTTCGTCTTTCATTTTTTCCCATTTGAAATGTCCAAGTGTGTTGCTTGTTAGCTATCAGAAAAAGACTTATGATTGACATTTTTATTTTTTCAGTGGTTATATGTCTCCAGAATATGCAATGTTTGGACAATATTCTGAAAAATCAGATATTTTTAGTTTTGGAGTGATAGTATTAGAAATTATTAGCGGAAAGAAGATCACAAGTTCTCCGGCTCAATCTCATGGCCTCCTAAACTATGTAAGTTAATTATTGTAATGTGTTTATTACACTAATATTTCTTTGTAATTGTCTCAAATTTGAGTGAGATTATTTTAACGATATTGTGTGAGATATTTAAAGGGTGGTGATTAAAATAGCTAAGTGTACTGAATTGTTGCAGGCTTGGAATCAATGGAAGGAAGAAAAGATCTTAGAGATACTGGATTCAAATCTAAATGAATCTGAATCGTTGAATGAAGTGGACAAGTGCATCCAAATCGGGTTGTTATGTGTTCAAGAAAATCCAGAAGCAAGGCCTTCTATGGCTACAGTTGTTTCATATCTTAGCAATGATTCAATTCAATTGCCATTTCCACAAGAACCTGCTTTCTTTCTGGAGGGCCACATGGAGCATAGCACCGAAAGCCGAGGATCCATTAATGAAGTATCTATAAGTGACTTCTATCCTCGGTAGGACGAGGCTTTTATTTCATCTTGTCCTTTGCCATCAAGACTCAATTTGCTACCTTGTTAATCAGAGAACAAGTATTTTTATGTTATTGTACCCAAATGATGAGATTCACCATAAATGGTAATGTTGATATTATTATTCAATAATATACTTTCCAATAAAAGGGCGATGACTAAAATAATTAGCTAGACTTAATTGTTACAGGCTTGTAATCGGTGGGGGGATGAAAAGTTGTCAGAGATATAGGATTCGAGGATAAATATTGAATTCAGATCACACAATGAAGTGATTACTACATCGTCGGGTTGTTTTGTATCCAACAAAATCCAAATGCAAAGCCTTTGTGCCTGTCTACAATTGTTTTATATCACAGCAATTATTTAACTCAGTTGTCACTTCCAGAGCAACTTTTTTTTCTTTTTTTTGCATTGTCAAATGGAGCTTACCAATTGATTTGTACGTAAAGAATCATGCTCTACAAATGAAGTCTCGTTGAGTGAATTTTTTCCTCACCAGTAAAATCCTTTTATTTCTGCTTTTTCTTAAATGCAGATGCTCTGTTTGGTATCTACGAGATAAAGTATTGCACAAATTAAATACAAAGATAGAGCCTCTTAATGGACGGCGGAAGAAAAAAGGGGCCAAAAACAAATCCCAATCTGAAATGATCAAATTTATATTGTTATTGCACACATATTTTAAAAACAAAATACAAACCATCAATTCCCAGAGTAGAGAAAAACAAAAGTTGAAGTCTGATCTACTCCGATCTAACGAGGAAATAGTGTACTCTTCGACATTTCATTGATGGAATATTGATTGTGGTTGGCAAGCTGACCCTCCATTTCTGTGCTACTGTTCCATTTGACTGTGTATGAAGAATGCTGGTTCTTGAGGAATTGGTAATTGAATTGAATTATTACTTAGATATTGAACAACTTCATTCATGGAAGGCCTAACTTCTGGATTTCCTTGAACACACAACAAGCCGATATAGATGCATTTGATTATTTCACTGTGTGACCCAGCTTCTGTCAGACTTGGATCCAACATCTCTATCAATTTTTCGTCCCTCCAATGCTTCCAAGCCTGCCATTATGTCAGATCATTAATTCAAAACAGGGCCCTGCTATTAATTTGATTATAGAATATTGTTAACATAAGCTCCAATGACTGCATTGATGCTTATAAAGATGACCACGATGAAAGGTATGACATGATTATTTGAGAAATATTGAAAGTTTCATAGTCACATTACTTAATAGTCCATCAGTATACTGAGAATCAGGATATTCATGACGAGAATTTATATTCTTCTTTCCACTAATAATTTCTAAAACCATCACCCCAAAGTTGAAAACATCTGATTTCTCAAAAAATAGTCCAAACTTAATATATTCTGGAGACATATAACCTCTGCAATAAATACACAAAATAACAAATAAAGATATCTATATATGTTAGAATATTAGCACCAATCAATTTGAGCAAAATCTTGTGCCAATATTTAAATTCAGTAGGAAAGTACAAGTGCAAGAGACACAAGTAAATCTAGAGAAAGACAAAAATAGAAGAAAAAGAGAGAGAACTTACAATGTTCCAACAATTCTATTTGTGTTTCCTCTAGTTTCATTAATACCAACCATTCTTGCCAGGCCAAAATCAGAAATTTTTGGATTCATCTCATCATCTAACAATATTCTGCTAGGTTTGAGATCTCGATGTATTACTTTAGACGTGAATGTTCATGGAGATAAAGAATTCCTCGAGCAATTCCTCCTGTAATTTTATAGCGCTCAAGCCAATTTAACGTTCTTGGCTTTTGTGAACCTATTCATAATTAAATTACTTGGTGAGTACTAAATTGAATGACAGGTATGTTCACCTCCAAGAGTAATGACAGAATGGATAGTACTACTTCTATTCCTAATTATAACACCTCATTTGTCATCCACAAACGAGGTTATAATTAGGATCGGAGTTAGTATATGAATAAAAAAAAATTGAAAAAATGGTAAGATGAGTTTGGTTAGAAGAAACAAACCAAATAAAAAGTAATCCAGACTCTTGTTGGGAACATATTCATAAACAAGTATTTTTCCTTTGTCTTTCAGGCAAAATCCTAATAGTACTGTTCGCACCGCAAGTGCACGGGTTGTCACAAGTAATAAAGTGATGAGTAGAGTATCGTTCCCACGAGGATTTGGTTTCAAAACCCGGTCAAGTATTGATTATCTCACTTTCGCCTAATTTGAGTTACACAAATATATCAAGAGTGAGGGAAAACTATTTTCAAAATTAGAAATTAATAAAAAGGAAAAGAAAAAGTGATTCTTCAACTCCAAGGACAAAAAGGGCCCTAGGATTATTTATCCCCATTGTATTTCAAAAGTATTCAATTAAATCCCCATCATATACTTGCTTCTTAATTATAGATTAAGCTAGCCAAGGACACTAATTTACCTACAAGTGCTCTCTCAAGTCTCCAAATAGGTGTTTAGCTCAATTAGTTCATTAATCTCTCAATTTCTTAATTAAACCCCAATTTTCATTACAAACCTTATATGACTATGTGAGGTTAATGAGTATATCTCTATCTCATTAACAAAACCATCCATTCAACTTGTAAACTTCAAGTTCTCACACAATTTTACCCAAGTTCTACACTCAACCTAGCCCTCTCAAGTATCAATCAAGTGAACCCAACAATCTCATTGATGGCCAATCAACAAGAAGCATTAAGCATAGAGTAAAATCAACATAATCATATCATTAACCACAAATATAAAGGAAAAATGAGTACTTAATCCATACAAGGGTTCAAAATAATCCTAGAATAGAAGCTTAGCTACTCATGTTCAGAAAACAACCATAACTTCAATGAATAACTATAGCCATATCAGAAAAATGAAGAGGAAAGAGGAAGGAGACAGCAAAACCAAAGAAAATGGGTTTGAATCTCTTCAAATCTTCAAATCTTGGCTTCCATAGCTCCAAATGCCTCAAACCCTAGCAGAGCAACCTCCCAAAATGAGCCTCCAAAGGTGAAGAATGGTGAAAAACGGCGCATCCCTCGAATTGTATAGCATATGGAGCCCTAAACACATGCTGTCTTCAAAACGCAGAGTATCAATAATTCTACGTTGCCTACAGCTAAGATTTCTCTTGGCTGCAGCCAATTCCTTTCTGTCTTGATCTTAGCAGCCAAGATTGGCCTTGGCTGCGGCCAATTACTTTCTGGAATGCTGTTGGGTGAGGCCAACAATGCTCTATTTTGCATCTCATCTTTTCTTGCTTTTTCAATGTGTCATGGCTTCCTATGCATCTTTCTAACTTCATGGGATTAATATTTGATTCAAATGGCTCCCTTAGTAAGCTTCAACCACCTAACAAAGTAAGACAAACTATTAAAACCAAGTTGATGAGCTAGGGGCAAAATATTCACAATTAACCAAAAAAATCATAATTTTAGCCCAAGTATCAACTATGCACATTTTCCTATCCTAAATACTTCCAAATATGCATTAATGCACCAAAAAAATATGATAACTAAGGAAAAAGGTGCTAAAATAACATGAATTTCACAAGGTTAACAAGTGCCACCAGGTCTCTATGTTGAAGTTTGGCAATTAATAGAAGAGCTCATTCTTGAATTCTAATAAGCCCTGACTAGAATTTTCTAACAATCTCTTTACAGTTATTTTGCTGCCATCAGGAAGAATGCCCTGAAATCATAAATAATCAGATAATGAGGGAGTTGGAAATATATGCAATTAATGATATACACAAGCACACACGTTGATTTGATCGCATAATTAAGTTACCTTGAAGACTTCTCCAAATCCACCTTTGCCTATTCTATTTTCAGTCAAGAAATTATCTGTTGCATCTTCAATTGTTGCCAAATTGAACTGCAATGACTCTAACATGGCTCCTTCACTTCCAACTATAGATATATGTACATTTCAAGGTAAGTACGCTACAACAACATAGTTTTTCTCACAGTTGACTGAGTTTTCTTTCTTTTTTTTTTCAAGGAAAAAAATAGCATACATACAATTTTTCTTCAGAATCTCCTTATAGCTCTTGCTCCTTTTTCTCTGCCAGTAATAGTAGCCGAAACAAAGGAGCATGATTGAGCCAACAGTAACGGACACCACCGCTATTATAACTGTTCGTGAGTGGTCGTTATCTTCTCCTGAGTAAATTAAATGGGTGTGTACATTCCACAGACAAGAAATGGAGAAGATTTGTGAGCACAAAATTGAGAGCGAATTAAGAATATCAATTTATATTTAGTGAACTATATCTCTGTAAGAAAAATGATTAGATCGCAATTACTTTACCTGGATTTCCTGGGGGACCTGTATCGTCTGGGGGACACGCAGGTGGCACCGAAACAACATTTTTACTGTCATTATGAAATATGTATGACTCAAACCTCAAGTTGAAGCTAGGATTCATGACCTGTCCTCCTTTCTTTGCAGAACAACATGACATGATATTTTGCAAAGCACCTTGTAGACATTTTCCGCAGTCTTGGCTGGACAGGTTTGGAAGTACATTGTGCAAGAGTATACAACGTTTTCCGCTCTACATCGTTGGATTTCATATTTGTTTCAAAATTTTTCACTCCTACATCCTCTGATGCGTTCAACATCACCGCCACCAGATCATTGAATGTATTCCCTAACAGCCGACTGAAGGTCTTTGTTTCATTTTCAAGCATATCCCCACCAGGTTTTGTGTGTATAGGTAGTGTGTCCAGGGTAGAGAAGAAAGAGCGATTGGAATAGCGAAGCATACACATATCATACCATATGATAGCCTCCTTTGAATTGGGACACGAAAAGTTTAGTTGCCCGATTCCCTCATTGACGCATTCATGGCAGAGCTCAAGGGGCACATCTCCCCGACACATGAAGAGGCCGTTGACGGCGTCCCACTTGTTTCCTACGCTGGTGCTGCAGAATCCTTTGCTTTTGGTATTGTTGGATGCCTTGGAGAGTTGTTGAGTGAGATTTCTGAGGTTGTTTAGGTACTGATCGTCGGCTTCGGTGGGCGAGCAGTTGCTGCCTGTAAGATCAGGACGTCCAAGCCCTGTTTAACAACAGAAACAAAATGTTCAGGATTAAGTCATTTTTTTGGGTACAGAAAGGGGCCGAAGCCCAAAACATCAAATAAAAACCAAGACCAAAAGAAAACTCAAAAGCACATCCCGCCTCCTTCCAGGTCCATGCCTGTTTGTCAACCTCAAAAGCTTCTGCTATTTCTGTTGGTATGTCTTCAAACACGCGTCGGGTCTCCCTCCAGTAAAAATGACCAAAATTAACTAAATAAATAAATTCGCAAAAATGTATCTCTCCTTTGACTTTAATCCTTAGTTTGTAAAATGCAAATCAGTAACAACAATTCAAAGCTTGCGTGTATATAAATTTAATACTCCTCTTATCCTTAATGTGAGATATAATTAACTTATTTTAATAGATTAAGAATATTGATTAAATTAATTAATATAATTTTTTTAAAACACTTTAAGTATCTTCTTTAATTTCCTTCCTCCCTCTCCTATTTAATTATTATCGGAAGAATATCAACAGAGTTAATTTAAAAAAAATTAATAAGATCTTATATATAAAATCAATGTTAACTCTTTAATTAGGTCCTATATTAGGGATTGAAGGAGTACTAAGCAAATATATAATCAATCCCCCCAAAAACACCAAATTATTGTGGGTAACAAATTATGCAATTTTTATGAAAATTAAAATTGATTGCTTTAATGTTGGAATGTGAGATTGAAAAGAACGCGTGACACGGTGACACAAAACCATATGGAAAAGTTTTTCAATATCTTTTCGTGGAATCTTAATGATAATAGTTACCATGCATTCCCTAAAAGAGAAAAGGAAAACCGTATTGATATTTATACTTTTTTCCAATTTTTAATCTGGTATATGTTTTTTTTCTCTCAATTAAATCATTTAATTTTATTTTTTCTGTAATATTAGCTCTTATAACTTTATTCTATTAGCATTTCTAGTTTTTATACAAGAGTTAATGAATAAAGCAAATTAAATTAAAGACTTAATTAAAAGGAAAAAAAAACACATAAATAATAAATTGAAAATTGAAAAACGTGAAGGGAATCTCTTTCTCCTCATCTCCTTCTCCCTGTTTTTCTTTTGATGCCGTGCAAAGAAAAGGAAAGAAAGAAAATAGTGACATCACCTTTAGATGCAGTGGAGGGAGGCTGGTCGCCCTTGTAATAAAATCGGTCTTCTCCGAATCTCAAATTGCAGCTCGGACTCTGAATTCTTCCTTCGCGTGTAGTATTTTCTTTCGGAAGAAGATTCATGATGCATATAGACACTTGCTACAGAATTGTTGGGACAGATTCGGCATGCACTGCACAAGAGTGTACAGCGACCCTCCACTAAAGTTTGCTTCTTTTGTTGCAAATTTCTTGGCACCTGACGTCGCTGCCTCCACCACCGCATCATTCAACGTCTTATTTAATTCTGCGTATGCATCAGGGTTTGAATTATCCCTTGTCGGTATCGCGTGCTCCATCCTTGTTTGATTTCTGTCATATGGACTGGATGGAATCCGGCTGCATGGTTCTGATGGGTTAAGAGTACAGCTGGTTATCGGGACCACGGCCACCAACCGGCTGCTAACTCTAGGCAGTTGATCGAGGGTGGAGAAGAAAGAACGATCGGAATAGCCGAGGGAGCACTGGTCGTACCAGATGACTGCCTCTTTGTTGTAGGGACACTTTGAGGCTATTCGATTTATGGCGTCCTGAACGCAATCTCGACAGACCTGAATGGGGACGTCACCTCGCCACATGAACTCTCCATATACGACGTCCGCATAGCTGGTGATGAAAAATTTGGGAGTATCACCGCCGGCAGCCTTTTCATACAAGATACCGAAGAGAGTGTCAAGGTTGAACTGGTAGAGGGGCTATTGGAAGTGAAGTTTTTATTGATTGTGCAGTTGTGGTCAAAGTAAGCCGGGATGTCAACTTCAGAAGAAGCCAGATCGAAGGAGGAGAGAAGCAGAAAATAGGATAGCAGTTTCAGAAATGGCATATCCATCTTCCTACCCAATGCTTCTGCGTGCGTCTTCACGGCTTCTGCTAAATAAAGTGAAGCAAAGTTTTCACGCGGTTGGACCTCTAACGCTACAACCGCATCTTCCCATGTTCTTCCCTTCTCATTATTGTTACTATTATTTTCCTTTTGATTGAAGTTTTAAATGAAACGAGAAGTATTTTCTATTGTTTATATATGATACTCCTCCCCCCCCAAAAAAAAGCCAATTTATGCTCTTTGTAAAGTATTAAAAGGGTAAATATAATCTTTAGTCCCCCAACTTTGCCTTCATTTTGGTTTTAGCCCTTCAAATTTCAAACAATAGGTTTTGATCCCTCTAGGGGCAAAATTGTCCAAGTTTTTATTGGATTATAGGTGCTAGTGTTTTAAATAAAAAGAAACTTGAGGGACCAAAACCTATGATTTAAAATTTGAGGAACCAAAACCAAAATGAGGGCAACCTTGAGGGCCATATTAAAATTACATAACCGAAACATTTCATGAGCAGTCATATATCATAATGTCTTTCATTTCACATGCAGAATAAGGCTGATAATAAAAAGCAAAAGGGCAAAAGAAAACAAAATTAGAAAGATAGAGCATTATTAGGGGTATTAAAGGCGCGGGCCATTAGAGGCCAATAACCCAACATTATTCACGGAAGAGGAATTTCCGTATGATTTTCATTTGCCAATGTGAAAAGGTTCACCGTGCCAAGACTTTGCTTGAAAGAGCCTGCTGTACGTTTACACTCTTAGTATGATTTACAAAACAAGAAGAGACAAGAGAGAGAGAGCAGCTAAGATGCTCTGTTTTTACCGGTTTCAATTTCAAGCAAGTATAGCATTTAGGATCATGAGCTTTCTCGTGTAAGAAATCAGCACATTAGATGACAGTCCGAGTAAATCATATCCTTTACCATCAATGGATGGTTAGTTCTCTCCCATCCAGCATTATTAATGGAAGAACTCTTCTATAGTAATTGAAGAAGGAAGTGTAAGCGAGGACCATGTTGCAGCCATTGCTTACAAAGATAAGAAAACTTATATTGTCCACAAAAATAAAGAGCAATAAGACGATTCATAATCGTAATGCACCGTCATTTTTAGCACTGTCTCACCACCAAAAAAAAATTGAAAAAGATGGAAAAATCAATCACAAAAGCTTATTATAAGCAATTGAGAATACACACACACTCATAGATAAGGAAACCAACATAGGCTCTTAATGGACATCAGAATGAAACAGGGGACCGATTGAAAAAAATAATCCAAATTTAAAACAACTAAATTGTTATTGTAATAGATTTTCATTCAAAGACTACTAAGGAGAAATGTTCAGCTAAGAATAACAAATTCAATTTAAATTCTAGTTATTAGTTTTTTGGCACATATATAGTGCCTCCGATTTTATTTTATTTATTTTTGGTTGAATTTGGGTGTTCATCTTTACGGGCTCCACGCAGTTGATTTAAAACTTGGTGCCACACAGGGTACATCTTGTGCCACAGGACTCAATGATCTTTAGCGCCTCCAATTTTAATTATAAGATTTAGTTTATAATATGATCTACACTACAAACTACCTAGATCTTACAGTTAGAGTTTTTCCCCCAACTATCTGTTTTAGATGTGCATAACTTTCTTGAATTATATGTTGGCAAAAAAATTCTTGAGTTACGGGTACACAAATTTCAAAATGCATGAAATTGAATGATTGATGATAACAAATGAAAACTCAAAATGTATACATTGGTTTATTTATTTACACTTATGCCATTTTAGATTTAGGAGGTGTTTGAATGAAAATCAAACAGTAATTTTAAAAATAATTTTACAGTATACCAAATAAATATATAAAAAAATTTATTTCAATTTAAAAATATTTTTAAAAGTATTTTTAGAGTGTTCCAAATATTTCCTTACATAGAAAATTCAAAATTTATCACTAGACGTCGGGTCTAACAACAACTAAAATAAGAAAAGAATATTAACAACTTTTTTTTAATATAAAATGTATCAATTGCAAGTTTTATATAAATGGAGTATAAATATTAATACTTTAATTTAATAAAATACGAAAATTAAATAAATATTATAAGTTTTCTACAACACACACACACGCACCTCTTTTCTTTTTGGATACTTCCATCCATTTTCCAACAATTTGGTCCCCTCCATTTCATTGACTGGGGTTAGCCTTCCATCACCATCATCGATCAACACCTTCACAGCCATTGCAATAATGGTTACCTATTTTTGTATTCAAGCTTTATTTGTGGTGTCGAACTTTGCAATTTCATCCTTTCATCGGACCCTCTAAACCACATTAGTCATCATTTTCAGTCAAACAAACATTCAACTTTGAAATATTTAACAGTCATGGATTTTTATCAGCTTTTAAAAATTTCATATGTATTTTTGCACTAAATATTTGTTTATGATGCTAGACTCATTGGGAAAAAATTCTTGAGAATATATTTACACATTAACCCTTTAATTGGAGTATGCAGAAGATCTTGTGGGTATTTGAGCATCATAGATTTTAGAGGTGTTTGGGTACCATAAAAAATGCTTTTAAAAGCAATTTTCTATAAATCGAGATAAACTTTTTTACACATATATTTTATATACCGTAAAAACACTTTTAAAATTATAATTTTGATTCCATCCAAACACCCTCTTTGTTTATACAATAATTGCTTCTGAGTTTTATTTTGAATTTTTTTTTAGTTACAGGAATGACAAGATACAATGACATTTTAATTAGGGCATATGAAGCGAAAGTATTGAGTAAATACATTAAAAATCGAAAGGAATGGATCCTTAAAGTAATTAAACAATTGATTCAGAAACAAAATTTTAATTTTAATCATTTTCAAAAACTTAAAAGTAGTACTGGTGCATCTTGTGTGATAGCGGCCGGGGAACGGCTTTGCCGTCTCTAGAGAAAATCCGGCCACTACGGCACCACCGCGGTAGATTTTTCCAATCTTCAGAGTTTTGACGTTTATTTTCCAAACGGACGGTCAAATGGAGCTTATTGACACCGGAAGTAAAGAATCTATTAATGAAATGTCTACAAGTGAATTCTATCCCCGGTAGTACGCGACTTTTATTTCTTCTTGTCGTTTGCTACCAAGACTCAATTTGGTACCTTATTAATTAGAAAACAAGTATTTTCATGTTATTCTGCCAAAATAAGGAGATTCAACATATAAGGTAAATCTTGATATTATCATTCAATACTACAATTTTCATTACTATTATATTACCTCTAATCATTAATATAAAAGCTAGTTAATTAATTTGAGTAGATTAAAAAAATTAGTTACGTTAGTTATTTGTAATAAATAGATATTATATTTTCTAAAATATCCTTGCTAATTAAGTGTATTTGCTAGAACTATTATTATTACGAGGACTATTTTTAAATTAAAAAAAGAAAATAAATGTGAGAGATAAAGCGGACTATGATCTCATATTTATGATCAGAATAAAAGTCAAATAAACTCTTATATTAAGAACCGGAAGTAGTATTTAAGATCACGTTTGACGTTTCTCACAATGTAACATCTCAGTTCGCCCACAGCCACCGAACCAAGGAGATCTGCATTTTCTCGCTGCAACTAATTCAACCCTTGCTGCTCATATTTAAGGGGATCCTGCCTCAGATGCACGAGAAAGATTATTTTAATTTTGAACCATGTCATATAAGCTGATTAATAATGGAAGGGAGATTATTATAATAATTTGTTTTACTTAATTGTTACAAACTGGTAATCAGTGCAAATTAAGCCCTTGTGCATGGTTACACTTGGAACCAGTTTTGGTGCTTATCGCAGTTATGAGTATCCAGATACTCATTGCTACGGTAAAATCTATACTATTTAAATAGAGTTTTAATGATCTAGATTTAAAATTTTTAACTAATAATTTTTTAATAAAGAAATTAAGCCAATATGAATGCATTTGATTATTTCACTATGTGGCCCAGCTTCTGTCAGATTCGAATCCAATATTGCTATCAAATTGTCATCCCTCCAATGCTTCCAAACCTCCCATTATGTCAAATCATTAGCTTAAAATAGAGCCATGCTGCTAATTTGATTATAATATTTTGTTAACATAAGCTCCAATGGTTGGTAGATGCTTATGATCACAACGACAATGACCGGTTTGAGATGATCATTTGAGAAATGCTAAGAGTTTACTATACTTACATCGCTTAAGAGTCCACCAGCATATTGAGATTCATGTGATTCACGATGAGAATATATATTCTTGGAATAATTAATCTCTGGGTCCTTATAATTTCATTTGATTTTTAATTGGGTCCTTATAAATTTTTTTCTTTTTATCAGGTCCTTTTACTTTCGTGTGTTTTTAATTAGGTTCTTCTATTTTTTTTCTTTTTATCAAGTCCTTATAGTTTCATTTATTTTTTAATTAGGTCCTTTGTAGTTTTTAAAAAATTATTTATTAACTTTATTTTTAAAAATTAATTTCATTTTTAAATTAATAATTACATAATTAGACAAAATAATTAATATAATCATTTAGTAATTAATAAATAATCAGAATAATAATTGTACTTAAATATAAATTATTTATAATTATATTTTAATTTTAGAAAAATTTATTATTGTAATTTAAATCTTATAATTATAAAAATTAGAATTGAAAATAAATAATATATTTTTTGACTAAAAATTTAAAAGAATATTAACATAAGATTGTTACAATAATTTATTATT